ATAGACTAATTAAGGACTTCCACTTTTATGTAAACATCGGGCGACAGTCGAAAAATAAATTAATTGATTGAAACCTTTATTTACTAACAATATCGTAGTAGTGTTAGTAAATAAAGGTAAAACAACTGTAGTGCGTGTTCTACTTAACAGAAAGATCAATGATTCTATTGTTATTGTGTTTTATTCGATTAAGCGAGTCACAATCTATAATTAGGAATATTCTCACGTATCCGACTCACAATAATCGATACAGGTGTATCGGCCAATAGATAATTTATTGCCTCATATATGATCCCAATTGAATAAGTGCCCCAAAATCTTACGCCATATACTCGTAAGTATTCCGTCAACTAGATACTATTCATAGAACTTTATAATCCCTTAAAATGATTGATTATATATTACATAAACTTATAAATTTTGAAAACTAATAGGTATTATGTCATGTTGTATATTGATTTTATAAAGTTCTCGATTATAAATCTTGTTAGGGCATTGCATTACCTATCCAATTTTGTGGGATTAATTTTATGTAATGGATATCAAAGTAAAACTCCTTCAATAATATAATGTTTCTTGTATTCTTGCGTCTACTTTATTTTCGTAATGAAACTAAACAGACGCTCTATCACTAAATATCGTGTTCACCATTTTTATGAAGATGATTCCTGTTTTTTAACGAACTGGTGGATAATAACGTTTATCACATGTAGATACGTGTTCTTTACACTAGTATGTAAATAAGTTGAAGAATTTAATACGCATTATAGATTTGCGTCCATTTTTTAAATGTATTCACGATTTTTTATTTTATTAAATATTCAAATAACATCTTTATCCTTACACAGCATAAGTGTTACAGGCGTCCATAGGCTACGATGACCCCGTTTACTATCAGACGGGCCGTATACTTGTTTGACACTATAGTAGTATAAAGAAAAAAACCTTAGTTATTGACATATTGGTATAATAAGATATCAATATTATCTAACTGATGTATTACTCGATTTTCTATAATCTAACTTTGAATAGAACTATTTCATAGAACATCAGTTTACTTATTGACTTAATACATATGTTTCTTGATAGTGAACTTGACTAATGTAATGATTCAAGGCTTAAAAACAAATTGATACTTACTCAAAGGCCATGGCTTATTATTGATAAAAAAATACTACATTATAAATATACAGACATTAAATACATTGATATGTTATATTAATTTTAAATTCAATGATTCACAGCTATATTTATCGCAAATTCTTGAAAACCAGTTCCACTTGGACCAAGGTATAGACAAGAAATTCTGATGCCGCCAGGATAGCAATCAGAATGCTATTTAATTATACTCGTGCTGTCTTAACTAGTTTTCCCTTTAGTGTAAATAGTTAAATATATCAAATTATAGCTAAATGTACATACAAGGTAAAAATTTGTTCTAAAGATGGAATCGTAATTACGACTTCGGGCAACTCGTTTTTTATTAAATTTATATAGTATCTACGTGAATAGATTATGGGTTTAATTTTTCTACTTTTTTTATTTTCCTTTTTTGATTATTAATTTTATTTTCTTTCTGTATTTTGTATGAATGCTTTCGAACTGAAAGATAAAGCCAATTATTATGTCATTGTTTTAAATAGTTCTTTAAATAATTTTTAACGTTTTAAACACATGCGTGTTTACTCAACTATTACAGGCAAAGAAAATTTATCGATAATATGGTGACTAAATATTCCAAAATACGTCTTAAGGAGGGGAAGGAATTGATACTAATGGGAGCTCATAATTAGTAATATTCTCTGCAGGTTGATCTCTGCGCTCTCTCTCCTGGAAATCTTTATGGTTGATTTTTGATGAAGGCGTCATGATGAGCCAACTGGCCTGTTTTTAATCTTTTGGAGGAATCAGCAAAGAGTATATGATTAACTATCTATCATCCCTCACTGGTGCCCCGCCTAATACTAACAGTGTAGGAGGGGGTTACCATTTAATTATCATCATTAAAAAAATACGTATTTTTTTCTTTAATTTGAAGTGCAGTTCTGTAGTAAATTCCTCATAATCAATTAGACCAATAAACCAATGTGTTAATGTCGTTTGATCATTTGTTTACTTGTTGGAGAAACTGATGAGAAGCAAGCTTTGTTTCAAACGTACGACTGTTTGTTTAAACGCCGCTTAATTATCACTATGCACATGTGGATGTGTTTGTACTTTCAAATTACTTTCTTTCTACTTCCGCGTAGAGTTTAGTTTTGTTTGAATTTTGATCAATATACCTACATTATTCACGATTCATATTGGAGTGATTGTTTTACAAATAAACGTAGAAAATGAGTTTTACGAAATTTTGAAATGAGCGCACGTTTTCAGAAGTAGTATGGCGGTACTTTTTTAATTCTTAATTTTATGTTTACATACTTGGTGAACTTCTATTTACCTGTTAATGAGTAACAATTTTTTATTTTTGATAATTTCCAACTTTTTGAAAGAAATACAAAACATTAACCACTTGTTGTTTTAAAAACGGCGATTACATTTATAATAAAATATAATATCAACAAACTTAAGTACCAACGCTGAAGAAAAAGAGCAGTGCAAGAAGAATTATCAAAATCCAGTCAAAATCGGCAAAGATATTGCATAACATTTTATTTCTTACTGATATAATAAAAATATAACTAGACGATGTCTACATGGGTGATATTTAAGAAAAAAATATATGTGATATTAATAAGAATGGTAGTTGGCTACACAATAATTCTCAGAAATGTCCGTCTGTCAGTCTTATCTGTCTGGATGTTTGTCTGGTATCATATAAAAACTACTACACCAAATTGAATGCGGTTTTCACAGTTCTTTTTCTAATGATATAACTTAAATTCTGGTGTACGCCTTATTTTGATATGCTATCTGGAAGTGGCTTTCATTGGTTTCTTTACTTCTGTAATCTATGCGTACGGAGTTACAGATAAAAAGTTAATAAAAAAAAAATGAAATATTTCACAACATGGTCTAAATTGAAAAAACAAAAAATATTGGAACGTAATATTATATTCATATATAAAAAAAATATTTCAAATTATGAAGTTTGAGATCTTTTATTTACCTCTATCAATTTATCGTATCGTCTATACTATCTATTTAACTTTAGTAGACATAAGCAATTACACTACAGTCCACTTAAAATATGTACGCAAGTTTGTATGACCAGTTATGGGATATGCATGATCACTTTCATTTAATATTAATAACTCACTTTAATGTGTTTAACGAATTAGTTTATTACATTTATTTTTATCTTCTCATTTTTCAAATTAGTGTTGTAATTGTACGTATTATATATCAGTAATTACTTTAATTATTTCTCACATCGTTTAAAACATTTTTTTTATACATTTCCCTTTTATGATTATTTTTTTGACATTTACTTTTATATTGGTTGCTAATCTTCATATCGAATTCTGGCGGCGTGGTAAGTCGGATCATTTGGTTCTCTATAATATAGTTTTTTTTTTAATGGGTAGTAATGGAATGGCAACCCCACCCGCGCTAGCGGTTTACACCAGCAGGGCTCCAGTGAAGGATAATAGGTGAGGATGAAGCAGGTCAGTTAGCCCATCGTGACGAATTCAACAAGAATTGTTCATGATGGTTTCCAGGGGCAACCACGTGGAGGTCGACCTAATAGGGCATATTACTAACAATGGGGTTGTCAAATTCTATTGCTAACAATCCCTTTCCCCCCTCTATAATATGGTTGAACACAATAATGACTGGCTCATCCGTCATACCCGTAAACGGGTGTTTCTTGAAGGGATTGGTTTGTTTAAGAATATTGTGATTGAATGTAGCTTTGTAGTTTTTAAATTTCTTTCCTTTTATATGAAGTTTATGATAGTCATTTTATTCATTCACATTTTTGTTGAAAACTTAAAGTTTATTCGAAAAAAGCAGCAGCTGAGTTTCTTGCACGTTCACTTCATCTAAAATTGCATTTCGAACTGAGCTGTAGATGCATAAAAAATATTATTCAAAAATGCTTATAATTTATTATATGCTAATATTTTTTTTTATCGAAGTAAACTTTTACTTTAATAAAAAAATATTTATTATTATTATTATCTATTTAATTAAATTACTACATAAAATCATTAATTTTATTTAGGACTGTAAAATTACTATTCTTTTAATATAGGACTTAATGCATTTTTTTTTTATTAAAAGCTGATAATTTCAATGTGTTTTATCTCACATTATGAAAATACACATTGTACTTTTAGTAGTACAAACAAAATTCTAAACTAAGATCTTAAGATGGAATCTGCATTCCCCTGTAGGAATGTTAAGATCTACTATATAAATCCACTTGTTGTTGTATCCGCATTTGGCTTAACTGAAATGGGGTTAACCATCTTAATTCAGATTTTAATTGCGTATCCAACGGAAGTATATCATATTATAGTTAATCAAGTTATTTAAAGGCGATTAAAATAAATTTAGCACAAAATTTCTATAATTTTTTTAATACTAATAATAAATTGATGAAGTTGCTCATTATATATTTAATTTATACGAAAAGGAAGACCGGAATGGACTAGGTGAAACAAGGTATAAATGTTTGTGGAATGACATATCTGATATAACCAGAGAGAGAGAGAGAGAGAGAGAGAGGAATGCAAAAAGATTCTAAGGAATGGTAAGGATCTTAAAGATTTTAAATTTTTTTTGGATGTTGATGTATTTGTATCTGGACTGTCGAAGAGGCGTTCAATACGTTATGATTGCATACCTGAATGACAGATCTTGAAAGCCTTGCCCAGTCGCAACCATGTATGTAACTTGTAGGATTGCAACTTTGTAAGCCTTCCAATTTAAAAGTTGTGTCAGGACTATTTGTGTTGTACTAGCTTACGGAAGGTTTTAATTCAGTTGGGTAAAAGTTTGAAGTCCACTCGTTTAGATGCGTCGGCTGGTTGCGCACGACGGCGTACGGCGCTTCAGTTTGCTCGCGCTACCCGCGCAGCTCACTCGCGTGTGTATTATACTCGTGTCGTGATAATAAAAACCAACTTGCCGACTCGAATTTGGAACGTTTTCGACCGGTAATGTGTCGGTTTAACTGTCGCTTTTAAACGGCGAACGCTTCTGGTGACCGCATGAATTTCGCATTGCGAATCGAATGTGCGATTGCTCCATACTGTTACGCTAGTGTTAACAGATAACTGTGAAGAAACGCGTGTAGGCCTTCAGTGTTGTGCACTCAGCAGATTTAGTGCTTTATCTGTGCAGTGGAGTTGAAGTGTTTCGTGTTAAGTGCTATTTTTCCTGTTTGATAGCAGACTTGTGATTATGTTTCACTGAACTCGAGACAAAAAGTTGTTTTGTGATCGAGTTTATGTGACTACCGGAGTATTGATATGTGCTTTCCCCTTGTCCACAATTTGATTTATGGTAAGTCATTTAAATAGTTTTATCTACATTTGCACTTGACCGTCACGTGTAACATTTCGAGAAAAAATATTAAAAATTGAATTACCTTAGGTAATTAAACACTGACGCAAATTGCAATAACTACTTACCTAAATACAATATCTAAATTTACTTTCGTATTAAGCTTTAGGCTTAAAAGGTATTCTGAAAATGTAAATTCTTATTTCAATCAATTACGCTGTTTATTAAAATTATTATTGGTAACATTTATAAATGTCAAGACTAATGATTTTAAGATGGTCAAGAAAGAAAAACATAAAACTTGAATTTTAGATACTTATTAATATATTATAGATATATATGGATGCCTAATAAATGGACTTTAATGTAAACAAACATAACAGTTAAGAAATATTAGTGACATCAAGCCAATGGTGAGAAGAAAGTGACATTAATAACTTTATATCCAAGTGGTCATGCGTATCAATCACGCTAAAACCAGAGATTGTATAAAGTTATGGGAGACTTGAAATTAATTAATACAAGCGAGGGAATGATTCAACAATTTCAAACGTACTGAATTGTGGGTCATAGCATTTATTAATTGCGAATCAGTGCAAAGAAGTGGAACTGGCATTGTCAGATAAATAAAATAGCACCTGCGAATTACATTCACTTTTAAGACGAAAATCATTAAGTATAAAATGCAAGCCGTAAAGTTGGCAACGAATAAATATCAATTCAATTATAAAATATTTTCTGGACGTTTGATTTAGAACAAAACAATATTATTTATTATTGCTTGACATTAGAATGAAACATTGTTTACAACTGTAAAGTTTACAGTCTGTTTTCTAAGCTCTCTCCAGTATTGTTTTTGGTTGATTAAGAATATTAGACGTAAGAGTGAATATGGACACATGGAGAAAGTTAATGGTGTTTTTTGTTTCATTATTTTGCTGTTAAATATCGTATAGTAAATTTTTAGTATCATAAACATGAGCAATCGGCGTTATAGAAACAGGCAATATCTTACGCAAACAAATAGCCTTTTCACCGTGTACAGCAGTATCTTGTTCTAAATCACTGAACTGTTTGTTTCCACTCTATGTTTAACCTAGAGTTGTGCCCTAGAGAGTTTGACCTAGGCATGGATTGAATTTCTGTGCTTAAACAGTAACGTCGGCAGCCATTTGTGTTGGCTCCTTGACCTCTTCCTCACGATCACTACAAATATTGAGAGTCGTGAGGTCTGTCGATTTAATTATATTTGTACCTTAGATTCTCTAGTGACAGTATTATTTGTTTTAAGCTCATTAAATTTATTTAGTAAGGTTTACTACACACTGCAATTTAATGCTTTATTAAGCAGTTTGTTTCTATTTGCAGTTTTTTTAATACCTGAACATGTTGGAGTCGATTCTGAAGCGCGATTATCACTAAAATTAAAATAAATAAAATTTTATTTCATATTACAGCGAAATGATTATTTTAACAACCAAGAAGTATAAAAAATTTATTTTGTACACTTTTTTTTGCAACTTAAAATGGCAAACAAGCTGACTGCCCATCTGATAGAAAGTGGTACTGTCATCTATGTACATGAACAGTACTATGGATCTAACAGAGTACACTGCGTCTCTTATGATGCCGCTCATGCGTTGCCATTCTTAAGGACTAAGGGGTTATTAGAGTGTCAGATCTACTTTACATTTTATTCTCGATAACTCATAATATAACAAAGGTTTTGCAAAATTCTCAAATTAATTTTAGAGATAAGTTAAAGGAATCAACCTCATTGCTGTTTTAGTTAGATGATATCAAATTTACAACTTTAAATTAATTTAACTTTTAAATAATATAAAAAATTGTCTGCTGTCAATAACATTTCATTTCCTTACACCATGTAGTTTAAACAGTGAAGAGATAAATTATTATATGAATGTAACAAAGTCCACAACATACTCTTTTCAATGTATAGACAAATCTGTGTCAACTGCTCCATATTCATAGTGACAATTCTGTAATTCATTGAGATCGATGATCTCGTTATGGGCTTCTTATTGTGTCTGTACTAGTACAAGGCAAAAAGTGGGTGTTCCGAAGGCCAAACATTCATCAAGAAATACAGTTGAGAGTATGGGCGTATGAAAGGCTTTTGCTACAGAATTTGAAACGAAATAATGAAATTATTTTTGTCCCAGCAAAATACAAGGACATTTTGTGAATTAATTCGAAAATATTAAATTTAATTTGAAATTCCTTAGCACTTTGAATTCTCTAGTCGTATTCTAGAAATAGCTAATCATTCATATTTCAATTCTGCGCCGTGTTTAAATTTATCGGTTGCCCTTAGCCCTGCGGATAAATAAATATACGTTTGTGGGACAACTGTTTGAAAACCTATTACGTGCATTTCCTTTGGAGCCTCGGTCACGACTGGCTTTGATTCGACACCGACTCATCGAAGTAAATCATTACTGCCCTTGATATTGTATCGCGCCGGTAATTTATATTGATACTCGGTTGTTCCAAAAATGTAATTGATTATTCGAACTCTTTGAGTTAGATTATATATATATATATATATATATATATATATATATATATATATATATATATATATATATATATATATATATATATATATATAAGTGTTATAAATATCGACGATTATTCTAACTGATTATTCTATCATATTGTAAAAGGGAATAGAATAGAAATATCACCGTAAGCATCTAAAAAAAATGGCAAAAAGAAGTGAATAGAATAAGGACGAAACGGGTATAATATTATATTTATAGAGTATAAACAAGTAATGAGATAAATACAAGATCCTCTCACAGTAAACATCGTAAATTGCAACATCTTCGGTTCTTAAAGCATATTCCATGTGCTTTATTCCATTGGTTTAAAGAGGCACTATTTCAGCTTTAATTATGTATTTGTATATTGAACAATCCTGTCACTATTAATCAAAATAGTACATTACTTAAGTTTACTAAGTTGGCTTCAAGTTAAAATTAGCTACAATGCGGAAAATCATAAATTTGAGGATAAAACACATAAATTTAAGATAATACGACCATATTTTATGGACGACAAAAAACTAATGTTCATGATACTCGTTGTAAGGTTTACTATTGTTATAGTATCATCTAGTTTTATTCTGTTAAGTAATTCAGATTACACTAAGATAAATAATACGAATGACTTCCTTCCAACTTGAGTTAGTTTTACTAAAGATGTTTAAATAGTAAAGGATACAAACGAATACATATGTTTAGGTGTACATCAAGCCTGTCTGCTTTTTGTCCACATTTGAGTTTATGAATATTTATACAAAAGTTTGTTATGAGTATACTTTATTATTTAACTTAATACTTTTTCAGTACTATCACCTAACACCGGCGTACGTCATTTTAGGGCTACGGACATCTCCACTCATTATCTCTTGATATAATTAATCTTTTGAAGTTTACAAAATAATTTTATCTGTTCTTTGTAAGAAACGAATACAAAATACTCTTCCAGATCTTTGATATTACATCATGTTAATTGATTTACCAGAGGGAGACTTTGTACAAAAGTCGATTGTTTGGGTACCTCTGTCCCATTCATGTTTCTACCGTGAAGCAGTTGTGTTTGCATAGCCGTGTTTCGGTTTGAAGGGTGGGATATGGCGTGAATTTACTGGGTACAGAGGAATAACATCTGAGTCCTCAGGAATGGCAACGCATGGGGAGTATCATGGGCGAAACAGTATACTCTGTTATGTCCATGGTACTGTCCATGTCTCTAGGCGACGGTTACCATTTTCCATCAGGTGGGCCGTCAGCTTGTTTGCTATTTTAAGTTGTATAAAAAAATGTTTTAATTGCCTTTTTTATAGACCACTTTTCTCTTACGGTCTTTACACTATTTTTCTTACTACCAAAGACTACATATTCATACATTCAAATCTTTCATTCCTACAGCATCAGTCATGTTTTTTCTATCCTAATCATGATTTACTTCCATATGTAAGTGACGGCCTTAAGATTTCTCGATGATGAGGCAAAGCAAATATGCTCGATGTACATTTGCTTACTAACTTTTTAATTAATATCTACATGCCTATACGGTATTGGAATATTTCGAATTCATTATCAAGCTTTTACTTATCAGCTATCTTATCTCCGATTAACTGGAATATCTATGGAATATACTGCCTGAAAAGTAATTCGTTTAACAGATGATTTGCATTATATTGTGATACACTTTCACACCTATTAGAATTAAATTCCGGTTTCTGTTATATTGGATCATATAAATCATGGCATACCACTCATTTATACATATATTAAGATATAAAAGTCCGCCACTTCAAATATGGCAATTTAATAAGTTATCTTTATATATATTATATGTCATTAAAATATAATTTCTTATGTTCAATATCACGTCGAATCGAATTTAGATAGAAGTTATGATTTCACAAATCTATTAAACTTGTTTTTTATGATCTTTTATAATCATAATATGTACCATATACCTAATAGAAAGAGGCTAAAGAGGAGAAATAATGAAAGATGAAAACTTTATTGCATTTAATTTGATTTGCTTATTTTACACCAACTTTTTTTTTTATAATCAGTATTATATATTTCGTATTTGGTTTCATATTAAGTTTGTTACGATTAATGCCATTGTTTTGTTTTATGAGACAAAATTCTGCTTGTTAAATAATAATATTAATATCATGTTCGAAATTCAAATATTATATAAAATATGTGACTGAAATTATTTGTCTTTTGTCATTACCTTATTCGTTTTAAAATAAGAATAGTATATAATATCCTCTATTTTCTTGTGGAGCAAATTTTATTTCCATAACAAATTATTTCATTTTGTAATTTTGTATACGAGCTAGTATTCTATCTTGTAATAACATTTAGAACCGCCCCGTCAAGTATAGACACCCCGCGGCTCTAATTACAGTTGTAGACTTGTAGTTAGTATTCGTTGCAGTTCCATTGTAA